GTGAATGTTTGAGTTTGTAAGAAGAATACAAACACTGCTATCAGTTTAGTGAATGTTTGAGTTTAGAAGGATGTAAAGAAGAATACAAACACTGCTATTTTTTTGAAAAACCGTCTAATATTCACTTTTCTTACATTCAATTTTTTTAGAGGAACAACACAAATTTGATCTATTTTTATTTTTCATGTTTTATTTGGAATAGAACGTGTCGTCTGTTCCCCGCATGCATTTGTGTGTATGGAAATAAAAGCTATTAGAAGGATTTTGAGCTTTATTCCCACTTTTTTTGGCAACACACTGCTATTATTTTGAACACAACTGCTTACTATATATATATATATATGATATATATACATGGTACAAGGCATTCACAAAAGCTGTGCTGTCAACAAAGTATTTGCCCCCTTCCTGTTTTTTTTTTGTCAGTGCAAGAATGCACACAGAATTCAGACCATCAAACACGTTTTAATATTACAGGAAGAAAACCAGACTAAATACAAAGTGCAGTTTTTAAGTGATGTGATGCTTTCATTTTATTAACCTGGCCCTATGTGAAAAAGTAAATGCCCCCTAAACCTAATGACTGGTTGTGCCACCCTTGGTGGCAACAACTGCAATTAAGTATTTGCAATAATTGGCAATGAGTCTTTCACACCACTGTGGAGGGATTTTGGCCCACTCTTCTTTGCAGAATTCAGCCACCTTGGAGGGTTTTCCAGCATGAAAGGCCTTTTTAAGGTCATGCCACAGCATCCCAATGGGATTTAAGTCTGGACTTTGACTTGGCCACTCCAAAACCTTTATTTTATTTTATTTATTTATTTATTTGTGGTGGACATGCTGGTGTGTATCGGACCATTGTTCTGCTGCATAATCCAAGTGCTCTTGAGCTTGAGTTCAGGAACTGATGGCCGGACATTCTCCTTCAGGATTTTCTGGTAGAGCATAGAATTCATGGTTCCATCAGATATGGGAAGCCATCCAATTCCTGAAGCTGCAAAGTAGCCCCAGACCAGCACATTACAACCACCATGTTTGACTATTGGTTTGATGTGTTTTATTTATTTGTGTTTGTGATTTGCCAGTAATCACTTGACCTCCAGAAAGTTTTACCCCCTTCATGACCAGGCCATTTCATGCTATTCAGCACTTTGCAGCTTTAACTGGTAATTGCACCGTCATGGAACACTGTAAGCAAATCAAAAATTTATATCATGTTTTCTTCTTCACACAAATAGACCTTTCTTTTAATGACGTTTGATCACCACTGAGTTGCTTTTTTCAGTTTTTATTGAAATAAAAAAAACCCAATCTATTTTACTTTCTGTAAATATCCAATACAAAAATGAAACCATCACATTTCTTCAAAAATGTATGCCAAAAGTTATTCTGCTACGTCTTTGGTTAAAAAAAAAAAATCCTAATACGTGTATACTGATTGGTTTGTGTGAACGGTATAGCGTCTACAAACTATGATATAATTACTGGACTTTTTTTGTAAATAATAATAATTGCAGCGATCAGCGCCGTACAGTGGAACTGTGATGATGCTGTTGGCAATCTGATACCAACTGACACTGACATCACCAGTGACACTATTACAGTGATCAATAATAATACTTTACACTGTCACTGTGCTAATGAGGTGGACTGGGAAGGGGCTAACATCTTGGGGTAATGAAAGGGTTAAGTGTGTGCTTATGATGAATTGTATGTGTGTAATATGTGCTACTTTTTACTAAGATCTGTTTGCTCATTCTTCTTGCTTTGCAGAGAGAAGAAACAGACAGATCATTCCCTCTGTGCAGAGCCCTGTGTGTTTGTTAACACAGCTCTCTAGACTTTAATTGGACACAGCAGATCAGCAGGTCTCAGCCATGAATCATTGGCTAACACCTGCTGCCAAAATCCCGCTGTTGAGGTGCATTACAGCCCATTAAAGTAGATCTTCACCCTCATTTTTCACTTTCCACAACTCCCCCGTATATCCTTTCCTAAGAGTAAGGGGTGTAAAGTTTGCACTGCGACCCCATCCCCTGAATAGGTTGCAGTTGAATGTGACAGTTTTTTTCCCATGTGCGCGAAGGAAAGAATCGACCGTGGCATGTGAACACTTTCGCCTGCTGGTCCTGGATGGTCACTTCCAGCTTTCTCTCCTAGGTAAGAATAGAACCCACCCCCTTCCTCCTGGTCTATTAAAGTGGTTGTAAACCTCTAACAAGAAGTATGAAACACAGCATAACCCTCCATAGTGTGTGCTTGTCTCAATCCAGAGCACTACAGAGAGGCAGCTTACAGCAGACAACGCTGGATTCGCTGGGCAGGGTGAGTGAGTATTTTTATTGGAGGACAGCTCAGCTGTGGAGATAAGTCAGAAAAGTGTGGTGCATTTCACCAGCGAACAGAGATAACGGCTAGCACACTGTAATCTGCTTCAGTAAAAGTGCCTTTATTTGTGTTGTTTAGGCATGTTACATGAGCAATGCAACATTTTGGAACCTGCAAGGGACCTTCATCAGGCCAAGTGACAGAGAGACGCCTTGCAGTTGCAGCTTGTGAAACCTTGCGGCTGCAGCTAGACAGGATAATGCACCTAGAGCTACTAACATTTAGGGCAGTATGCACCCAGGGACGATGATGGCAATGCAGACTGCTGGCGTTCTGGGCATTCGTCTCTGGGTGTATAGTCCCCTAAATGTTCGTAGGATTGGGTGCACCTTCCCCCAGCTGTCAGTTTCCCATAGACTTTTCCAGTCTGCCAGCAGTGGGACTGGATGGTGCACCTGTGCCCTCCACCCTCACTTAAACACCAGAGTTGCATGCACTAGGTGGCGGAGAGTCTGTCCAGGCATGAAAGAGTGTGTGAGAACAGGCACTCCATTCCCATCAGGTGAAATTGATCCACAAAGAACTGAGCCTGGAGTCAGGGGACTGGGGAGCCAAACTGTGCACAGACTTAGTGCAGGTTGACTCCGGCATTGCACAGTAACGCGCTGTGTGTCCCTGTGCAATTCAGTGCGATGCAATTTAAAAACGCACTGAAACCGGATCACATGGTTGTAAGCTCCAACGAGCAGGGCCCTCTCAGTCCTTCTGTATTCATTTGTATTGTAATTGTACAGTCTGCCTTTATGTTGTAAAGCGCTGCGTAAGCTGTTGGCGCTATATAAATCCTGTATTATAATAATAAAAAACATGGCTCTGCGGTACCATGCATTTTGGTGCAGCAAACACACTGTATTTGTGATCTGTGTTTGGAGTGTCGTTAGGAATCTATTGCCACCCACAGCAGTGTTCTTGTGTGAACCGGGGCTGGGGCCCTTGTGCAGGGTGACTGGTCTTGTCTACACCCCCCATAGATTTTTGCAGGCAACCTGTGATGGGTGTGACCACTAAAAATTCTGTTAAACCATCTACACATTGCTATATACCCCCTTCTAGCAAACTTTCCATATAAACAGGGATTTTTCGTTCACATACATTTCAATGCATGTTTAAGCCGGCCAACTACGTCAAAGTAATCCCTCTCTGGCCAGTTCCTACCTTAATCTCTATCTATCTATCTATCTATCTATCTATCTATCTATCTATCTATCTATCTATCCATAAGTCGTATCCGACCCTTGGTGATTGCATGGACCGTCACTCGTAAGTGACTTTTTCCATGAATTTTCTTAGCAATTATTTTACAGGGTAGGTTGGCAAGTCTTTCCCCAGCCCCTACCATGCAGGAGATCCCGCATGGCCAGGGATGAAACTAGGACAATTAAGACAGAAGCCAATTAACCTACCAGCATGTCTTTGGAGTGTGGGAGGAAACCGGAGTACCCGGAGGAAACCCACGCAAACACAATGAGAAAATGCAAAATCCATGCAGGAGGCGCCATGGTTGGAAATCGAACCCATGACCCAATTACTGCAAGGCAGAAGTGCTAACCACTAAGCCACTGTGCCGCCCATCTATATTATCTATCTATCTAAAAAGCTTTTCTTTTCAAAAGCACAAGAAACTCGCTTCTTTTGAAGGGCCTTTTTGCCCAATTTTGTTTAAAAGAAAAAGTTCCATAAATCTTTCCAACGCATGGGGTATTCACCATCAAAGGAATTAACCAATATTCAGCCGTCTGGCTTTGTACATCGATTTCCGTCTGTCTCCTGCAGACTCTATCCGAAATGGCTTTCCCCGCACACAGCTCGCCAATAGCACACAGCTTGTCTGACTTCCACCTCTACTAGGTGAAGCCCACCTGACTCCAAGGCAGAGCCCTCCTGTCTGCCAGGGTGGAGCCCTCCTGTCTGTCGGGTGGAGCCCAGAATCATGGCCTGGCCTCCGCAAAAAGGCCTGCACACACCTGTGCAATCAGCGCTGGCTGCTCTCAAAACATGGGCCCAGGATTGGAGATTTCATCCCTCCCAAATCTCTTAGAAATCTCCAGGCTACAGGTCCCAAAACAGGCTTTACAAGCCAAAGAGGAAACTGATAAACCAGTTTCCTCTGCATTGCAACTGCCTGGAGCCTCTCAACATGTATAGTCGAGAATCCTGGGTCCACCGTGATTTCCACCGTGGCAGGATAGCGCACTGCCACACTATCTAATCTATCTATCTATCTATCTATCTATCTATCTATCTATCTATCTATCTATCTATCTATCTATCTATCTATCTATCTATCTATCTATCTATCTATCTATCTATCTATCTATCTATCTATCTATCTCTATCTATCATTTAATTTAAATTTTTTGTTCACTGTTGTGAACTTTTTAGTTAAGCATCCATTGAAGGATGGCCCTCTGGTTGTGATGGTGGTAGGGATCAGGCTTGTCTCGCCTTCATCCGCTCACTAATGTATTCAAATGCCTTAAAATACTCTTGACCCAATGAGTCAATTGGCATCTCCAGGTCTTTAGAAAGAAAAGTATCCACTTGAATGATTTCCTGCAGTGGTTCCTCGAGAATAGGTTCCAATGTACTTTGTACGGGTGATGGTCCTTCTTCTATCTCTCTTCCCAGTCAATACCCTTGAAGAAAGGGTGTGATCTGAGATTGCACACCAGGTGCGCACGTTGCTCTTGGTCAAGACGTAAAAGTCTGAGTAAGAGTTCTTGCAGGTAAAAGTTCAAGTGCCGTAGGAAATAGGGTTCCTTGGTGTACATGGAAGTGACCAACTGCTTTTCAGTCTCCTGTCCAGTATAAAAAGGATGCTCCCCTAAGGCCATCTCATATACTATTATCCCAAATGAGAAATAGTCAGCGGGGTAATAGTATGGCCATTGGTAATAGACTTCAGGGGCCATGTAACATAGCGTCCCCGCGCAACTTGTGACTCTGTTTTTCTCCGTGACGAACATAGCCGACAGGCCAAAATCGGCAATCTTGACGTGCCCGGCGTTATCCAGAAGAATGTTCTCTGGTTTTAGATCTCTGTGGACAATCTGTAGAGAATGAAGGTGCTGCAGTCCACAGAGAATTTCGGCAGAACACATCTTAAGGTTACTTCATCAAGCGGAGCTGAATCTCTTATGAATTTTTGAAGATCTCCTCCGCCCAGGAACTCCATAGCAAAGACGAGATGAGTCTCTGTTTGGAAGGAGCAGTATAGATGTGCAAAAAATGAGTATCTGTTGCACATTTCCATTATGTAGCTCTCTGTAATGACGCAGCTGGGATCCTGTCGAAGTAATGGTCTTTTTTTAACCATTTTCACTGCTAGCTTCTGCTTAATGTCAGGATGAGAGGCCAACACTACTTTTCCAAAGCTCCCCTGTCCTAGTACTCTATGGAAGTTGAAACTTTCCAGGCTAAGTTTGTAGGACTGGTCGGTAGGGGAAGTAGCTTTGACCAGTGAAGCCTGCTTGCTCTCACTGGTATGTGAAGTATTGGTAGGTTTCTTGTCCTCCATCGATGTAGCTTGCTGAATTTGCGCAGTGTCTTTGTTGGATGGGATCTCATATTTCTGGAGAGAGAGAAAAAAAGTATTATTTCTACTTCCACATCATTTATGTGAAACTGCGGCCATTTAAAGGCTCTAGACATTTACTGGTGTGGTTACAAACATGGTGAAGGCAAGAGAATGGTCCAGGAAAGACAAGAGAAGAGGTGATTTCTCTTCACAGGAAGGGCAATGGCTATAAGAAGATTGCAAAGATGTTAAACATACCAAGAGACACCTTAGGAAGCATCATTCGCAAATTCAAGGCAAAGGGCACTGTTGAAACGCTACCTGGTCGTGGCAGAAAGAAGATGATGCTGACTTCGACTGCTGTGCGCTACCTGAAGCGTAGAGTGGAGAGAAGTCCCCGTGTGACTGCTGAGGAACTGAGAAAAGATTTGTCAGATGTGGGTACAGAAGTTTCAGCCCAGACAATAAGACGCACACTGCGTAATGAAGGCCTCCGTGCCAGAACTCCCAGGCGTACCCCCTTGCTGTCTCCAAAGAATAAGAAGAGTCGACTGCAGTATGCCAAAAGCCATGTGGACAAACCACAAAAGTTGTGGGATAGTGTTCTGTGGACTGATGAAACAAAATTAGAACTGTTTGGGCCCATGGATCAACGCTATGTTTGGAGGAGGAAGAACAAGGCCTATGATGAAAAGAACACCTTGCCTACTGTGAAGCATGGTGGAGGGTCAATCATGCTTTGGGGCTGTTTTGCTTCTGCAGGTACAGGGAAGCTTCAGCGTGTGCAAGGTACCATGAATTTCTCTTCAGTACCAGGAGATATTGGATGGAAACGTGATGCAGTCCGTCACACACCTGAGGCTTGGGAGACGTTGGACCTTTCAACAGGACAATGATCCCAAGCATACCTCCAAGTCCACTAGAGCATGGTTGCAGAGGAAAGGCTGGAACATTTTGGAGTGGCCATCGCAGTCACCAGACTTAAATCCGATTGAGAACCTCTGGTGGGACTTAAAAGAAAGCAGTTGCAGTGCGCAAGCCTAAGAATGTGACTGAAACTGGAGGCCTTTGCCCATGAAGAATGGGCGAAGATACCCGTAGATCGCTGCAAGACACTTGTGTCAAGCTATGCTTCACGTTTAAAAGCTGTTATAACTGTAAAAGGATGCTGTACTAAGTACTAAGATTGAATGTCACTTGGGGGTTGAATAAAACTGATAATGCTGTGAGCACAGAAAAGACATTTGTGGTTATTTCATTATAACTGTTATGTTATATTTTGTCTGACCTACAAGTGCCTCTTTAATGTAAATGTAAGCAA